TGTCTTTTTAACATTTATTAATTGGCAATTGTATTTTTTTTATCCTGAAGGTTGATATTAGGCTTTATCCACTTTATATAATTATCAATATGACTTTTAGCTATCTTCAGAATAGTAGGTGACTAAGTTAACAGATTTGCATCAAATGCCTTGGAAGCCTAGATGCTGTAATAGACTTGTTTCAAATCAATATCACTGCTATCAAAATATTCATAGCCTACACTCCTTTAAAAAACTATTCATTCTGACACAATCTGAATCACCAAAGCACCCGAACCACCCCTGGATCCGCTCCAGACCATTTGCAGACTATTTTCTAAACATACTACAGAAAGATAAGTGTCCTGCTTGGGGACAGAAATGCTCCCGATGTGGTAGCCGCAACCACTTCAGGAGTGTCTGCAAGAAATCCAACTCACGCGAAGTTCACAGCATCTCTGAAATGGCAGAGGTACCCTCATCAGAAGAAAGCCACATCGCATTTCTCACTGGAGTTGCTCTAGATTCTCAGGAAACTGATGTCCATGCTGTCCAGTTTGCCAAAGAAATTTATGCCGAGATGTTAATTGATAAGAAAAAGGTCAACTTTTAGATTGGCTGTGGAGCATGAATCAACATCATACTGGCGAAACACACTGAAGGTCAAAAAATCAATTCGAGCATGAAAACAGTAATTGCGAATGTGGAATGGATCACACATCAAACCCATCGGGATGGCACGAATCACCATGGGATCACCATGTGCAATCCCAAAACATGAAAGAAGTACTCTCTGGAGTTTGTTGTCGTCAAGAATTATCTAACACCGTTTATCGGAGTAGGAGCCACACAATGAATGGAACTTATAACTATTAGTGATGAAAACTTCAGTATGACCATGCCCCTCGCCCCTAAGAAATGAACTGCAGGTTAAGCAGATAATTGCTAAAGAGCTGATAAAGTGATATTCAGATGTATTTGACCGACCATTGGGAACATTACCTGGCGAAGTTCACTTAGAAGTTGACAACAACATTAAACCTGTCACCACTTCAACCCGAAGAGTTCCAACAGCACTCAAAGATGACCTGAGAGAAGAGCTAAATCGATCTGTTGAGAAAGAGATCCTGGCACCGGTAGAAGAGCCAACACCATGGGTGAGCAGCTTGCAGTCACTACCAAGAGGTCGGGGGCCCTGAGAGTATGCATTGATGTCCGACCATTGAACGAGGTATGGAAAAGAGAAACCTATCAGATACCGATACTGGATAAAATTCTCCCAGAATTATCTCAAGGAAAAGTCTTCTCCACACTTGACCTGCATTCAGGTTATAGGCAATGCGTTCTAGACCAGGAGTCCAGCCTGCTCACTATGTTCTCAACACCGTTTGGGAGATATCATTGGCACTGACTGCTCTTCCGTTTGTCAGTCTCCTCAGGAATTTTCCAGAAGAGAGTTAACCCAGTGCTAGAAGGCTTGAGTGGAGTGCTCGCTATTGCAGACAACATCTAAGTGTACGGCATTGGAAACAATGAACAAGAAACCGAAACATGATTTCTAGCATTTCGAGCGAAAATTTGGCCAGAGTTCCGTATAACCCCACACATTAATTATGCATAGAGTGTCGCAAAGAAACTTTACATTTAGTCATTATGAAATCAATGCATAATTAATGTATGGGGTTATATGGAAGTCTTTCCGTAAATTTAGGGGGGTTCGACCGAAGCACCCGTGGATCCGCTCCAGACCATAATTTTGCACAACATTTCCTAAAGCGGCAGTTTCATCTGCATCTCTTTCCTTAATCTTTGCAAGCTTTTTTCGAAATCTTTATTGATTCTGGTAAAGATAATAAACAGTACAAATGCGAATTTCACACTCTCCATTGAGCATAGCTACATCATTGCACTCTTGAGTAAAAATTAATTTACCTGTGTACATCTTTATTTCAAGATAAAATTCTTACCAGATTGAGTAAGTAACGGTAACTTTGCCACCATCTATCCGTCATCTTGATTTTATGAACCAGTTCCAACGTTGGATGGCTTCCCTTTTTGGCTCATTTTGTAAGATATTGGGTTTGCAAAAGGCACACAAAGATGAACCATAGCCTTAGCCATAGTCAGTAGAGGGAGACTCTACTAACTATGCTTCAACAAACACACTTTATGCGTGTGGCTACAACCTTCCTCAACAATTACACTGGGCAGAGTAGACACGTAGGCATTCACGCTGCGCATGCGTTCAATTAAAGAAAATCCAAAATGGCGGCCGGCATACGAGCGATACAGGTAGGTAATACTGAGTCTCATTTGGTTCTTTTTGTCGTTGACAGATCATTAAGCTGAACATATTACTAACCAGCTGCGATATCTATAATCTCACTTTTGACGTTTCAATTGAAAAATGTCAGTTTTTCCGTTGAGAAGAAATCTTCTATTAACGACCCTCTTTCTGTCCTGGTAACAGGAAGACATTCCTTCCTCTTTACTGTCAAGTTTTTCTTTATGAAAAAACAGTGCCCACATATTTCAAATTTTTTTTTCTTCCATAGGTGTTTGATCAATACTTAAATTTTATTTCTTTGGAAGATGAAATGTTTACAGTGAGAAATCAAGACAGAGATTCAATATCATACTATGGTAAGAACATTCTAGTTGAAAGTCTGCCAGAAGTGGTGTCTAAGAATTTACAACCTGTTTATAGAAAGGTGGTGGAAAGGTACACATAATTATCAGGATTTTTGTTTTCCCTTTGATATCTAAGAGTGA